CCTTTCTCTCTCCCTCTCTCTTTCTCTCCCCCTCCTTCCTTCCTTCCTTCCTTCTCTTTATGTCTCTCTCTTTCTTTTTTTTCTAATTTTCTCTCAATATAATAAAGGTTTGGGAAATACTGTACCCTATGCATTTTTGTAAGACATGTGGGAGGACTGTTTTTATCAGGTGAATAGAATGAGTGATTACAGATTGTTGTTTTAGAAGGTTAATTAGAAAAGATTATAAGTTATTTAGTTAAACTGCCTTGTGCATGTGTGTTTATGAACCTTATTCACATAGCTGAAGGTGTTCTTTGTTTCCAGTTCCCCTGAGATAGGAAGTGAAATAAAACCCGTTCCAAGCTGGGATGAGGAAGGTGACAAGACCTGTGAAGGCAATGATGACACAACAAGCCAGCCGGTTCATTCAAGTGAAGTGCAGGTCCCAGCAGGAGAAGTTTTTGCAAGGTGAGCTTGCGTTTTAAATGTCTTGGCAAGTGGCAAACTATAATTGATTTTTAAGGATGTTAAGAGGATGGTGATGCATTTTTGTTGTAATGTGTAAACTAAAAGGGAAAAAAGATATGAGTGAAAGTATACATAAATATATTTTAACTACTACATCTAAAAATACTAAACACAGAGATGAGAACTGTCCAACTTGAACATTTTCATAGGCATTAAAGAAAAAGCTGAGCATTTTAGTGGAAAAGCAACTAGAGGAACCCTTTCTTAGAATAAATTCTCCAAGCGTGTTCATGAAGGAATGGAAATTCTTAGTTTATATCTGTCTCGCACTTGATTGAAGTCTGTGTGAAGATAAATTTTTGTAGACCAAAATACAGAAAGGAATAATATTTGCACAAAATGAAAAAAATGGTCAGGATTAGATGGTGTGGTATGTCTAGATTGAGTTCACGTTTCTCCAGAAGTACGAAGACTCAGAAAGATCCAAGAAGAGCCCCTGCCCTTTTCTAAGATTATCATCTGAATTACAAGAACTAATTCAATACCTCTATGATAGGGAGGTTCTTCTTCCAGATCCAGGAATTTCTTGGGAACATATGAAGAAATAGTGGAGAGCTTCTTGAATTCAGGAGACACAAGTAGGCAAGCAATATTCATGCCCATCCATCTTGAAGAATACAGTCTGTCTGTGAGAAGCTTTTAGGCTGTCTGATGCAAGCTTGGTTGAAGTTAGGCAAAAAAGTTCAATATTTCACAGCTAATCCTGTCTGTTAGTTACTGAAGTCGATCTTCAAGTACACAAACAATAGATGAAACATATGTTATTGATTAGCTGAATTCCAGTTGAGGAGCTTATAGTCTGCTTGCAGATTTTTGAAGCTTCTGTGTGGCTGAACTGACCAATATATGTACATTTCTCAGTTTAGTAAATTCCAGTTCATTACCAAAGCATAAATCATATGCTATAGAGAGAAGGTAACATAGGAAGTAAATTCTTGATGTCAGTTGTAAGCCAAAATTTTATTGTTACAGATTTCAGTATGAATTCATACAAGGAATAGTTAATTCTTTGTCAGATAGTCCAAATGAATAAGTTTTGTATGAATAATGTTTACCATTTTCCAGTAATATTAGAAGTAGCATTGAAATAAAGGGAACTAGGAAATGAAATGAATGATAGAGAGTCCTTCATGTTGCTAGTTTAAGATTTTTATGATAAAGATTAGAAAATGAAGTGTTAAAAGATCAGTATTAAAGATTTTAGACTACATGATTGTGCATATGTGAGATATATTCAGCGCATTAGAAATGACAAGAAGAAAAAAAAATATGAGTTCCAGAAAATTACAGAGTGAAGTACTTTTTGCAAGATGTAAGAGTGTATTACATACATATCTGGAGATGGAAGAATAATGATACTTTTAGTGCAGAAAACTAAGAAAAATGAATATGACTGGAAAAAAATACTACAGAAGGACAGACATTCTTAAAGAGTAATTAGTTGTTAAAACTCCATTGTTGATTTTGACCTAAATTATCAAAATGTTTTTATCATGTATAATGTTGGAAAAAGAAAGTAGTGCTTCACGATTTTTCATTCTCTCTATTAAGATATTTTGTTTTAAGTATGAAGAAAATCCAAATCCTGGATTCCACAAACATTCTCACTATATCACAAGCACAACAGGAAGGAAGCCTTTCTCCCAGGTGCTGCCGAGGGGAGTGAACAATTAGGGTGGCAGCCTTGCTTTACAGTGCCACCCTGAATGCTGTCAGAAAATGCCAGAGAAACAGTTATGTGCATTTGTGAAAATAAACATTACATAATAGTGTAAAAATAAATTGAAAATTA